TTTGCCTTTCCTTTTCTTTGACTCTTTTAGTCTTAATGATTCCTGTTCTCTGTCTCCATTTTTTCAACTTTTTCTTTCTATTCTCATTATAAAATACCTTTCTTTCACTCTTATGTATATTTTTTCTCATCTACAGCCTCTTTTACTTCATTTCACCAAGTATCTTTTTCATATGTCCTGTTTGCATATCTCCCCACATTTATTTACTTTTGTAATATAATTCCTTTCACTCAGTTTCAAACAACTTCCACATCCTTTTTCTTTACATCTACTTTCTATTCATTCTATTAGGAAATTCACCTTTCTTCTCATACATTTCCATAGCATTTTCTCTTTCCATTCTAGTGTCTTCCCTCTTTTTCCCCCTTTTCTTCCAGGTCCATTTGATAGTGTCAAAATCCACTCTTGCACTATCAAAGGATGATCTGTCTCACATTCAAAAAGTCTTGTCAACCTTGCATCCTTCTGTAAATCTCTCAATCTTACATCATATACAATCAATCATGTTTTTTCTTTTTTTGCCATGTCTACACACAGATAGACTTAGACTTAAACCAAAACAAGCAAATACTTACCAAAAAAACCCACCTCTAATACATTCTTGGACTTCCAAATGATAAAGTCATTTTTTTCTTTACTCTTATATCATTGCCATCTATTCATTAACGTTTACCTAACAGAATAATTTTTCCACCTGAATCAGATTCATTCAGGACGTTGTTCAGGTTTTTTTCCAAAACTCATCCCATTCCATTGCTACCATTCACTGGAAAATAATATGCAGCTATCACCAGCCTATGGATTCTTACTTTTAGTAAGGTAGGGAAAGAATCAACTGGGTTACTTGCTCTACCTGTATTCATGCCATGTGCAGCCTTCAGTGCTAATGGTATAAGGATATAATAAATGTCATTTTTGGCACATTTTGGCTAGTATTTATTATTTATAAAATATATGCACTGCTACAATCCTGAGAGGGGTCTAAGTGGTCCACAAAATAAGAGCATCAGTTAAAAAAACCAACATAGCAATGACCTAAGCAATATACTTAGGAGGCCCTCTGCACGGTCACCCATGCCCTGGTCACCTCTGGGTTTGACTACTGCAACGCATTCTACATGGGGCTACCCTTGAAGAATATCCGGAAGCTACAGCTGGTACAGAATGCGGCGGCGCGGACAGTTCTCAATGCCCCTAGGAGGGCACATATAACACCGCTGTTGCGTGAGCTGCATAGGTTGCTAGTTTGTTTCAGGATCCAATTCAAGGTGTTGGTCATCACCTTTAAAGCCCTTCATGGCACAAGACCAGGTTATCTGAGGAACCGTCTCGCCCCAGTTGTTTCAGCCC